AAACATGACAGATAATCTGTGAAACAGATCCGGTTCAGCTGCTGTTTATCTATTAGTTTCTATGGAGGCTGTGAGCTGTTGTCCTGTTTGGACGCCATTTCTGCTCCACCATGCTGTCACAGACGCTACCAATGTACGGTATGGGTGGGGCTCAGTCTAGTCATCTATATTTAAGTCTATGTCCTGAACCCTGTGCAGCTCCACCTACTGATGAGATGATGTCATTTCACAGGTCAAATAATCAACATGCATTGTGGGAGATGAAGTTTATGTTCAATGTTGGCTATAAAGCAGCTTAGTTTAACATATTAATGCATCTTTGAAGCTCTAACGGGCCACATAAATGCTGTGGCGGGCCACATTTGGCCCACTGGCCTTGAGTTTGACACATGCTTTAAACTACAGCTGAGTAACTTTACCCAGAAAAGGCTTCATTCTCAGCTAATTTTACACATATTGTATCAGATCTGGTGTGTTAGCTGACAGCTATAACACAAAGTCTGAGTTCTAATAAATCGTTCAAGATGTCACAATATCCCATCAGACTGGAAATGATGAGTGGCAGGCTATTATTTCCTAACATATAATGATTTCAGTCTAAAACTTTAGCATGAAGTGCAGCAGGTGATATGCAGTCCTTTAAAGAATTCTAGGACTTTAAATACTTCAGTGATTTTAAAAGAGAAAAAGAAATAATTTCTGGTGTCCGTCAGCTTCACTGACAGTAAAAAGCAGAAACTCAGTGTGGGCGGTGTTCACCCATGAAGAGTTAAAGTGATCTCTGTCAGGGGATTTGTTTAAAGGACAGTCTGGTTATTTATCAGAGCACAGTTTAGTTCTCCTCCGGTGTCAATTTGCTCTTTGTTTGCTGATGAATACAGCAGCGTGTCCTTGCTGCTCACACTTTCTACATGCAGGTACCTGAGTCAGTTTCAGGAGGAACTAAAGCACCGCTCTCTCATGGCTCAGAGGCAAAGTAGTGATCTGTCCGCTGAGTTCCCTGATTGGAGGCGTGGCCGCGGCGCCTCGCTGCGCAGTGTTTACACTCAGACATGTCTGAAAGAGTTGTTATAGGTTCTGAGACAAGAACATTTATTAAAACAAAACATGATGTTTTGTCCTGACTCAGACCTTCACTCTTATCTGTTTGTCTCGTCTGTTGTCTCTGACATTCAGCCTCGCTTGTTTTCAGCTCCAACTCTTATTTCAGAAAGTCAGGAAAGTAAAAAACTCTTAAAAATTTGACCTGTCCAGTAGGGTTGKGCATAATCRTATCGTGTGCAATTAATCTTCAGAAAAACATTTATCGATTATTTTTTGGCACTTGATGATTAATATGATTAATGCCATCAGACTGACTGGAGATTTCCCCGGTCAATCCGCTCGGTGCTCCTCTCYGCTTCAAATGTGACGAACATTTAAAAAAAAGTTCTGTAATTTAT